GGATTATCAGAGGTGATAGCGGCTCCTGTATCTTCGTCTTCGTCAAAATCCAGCATTTCGGATTTTACATTCGCACTCAAAGAGAGAATATTCGCTTCTGACTCTGATTCAGAGTCTGAAGAATCAGAATCGGTATTGGTGGATTCTGATTGCTCAGGTCTATGAAAGAAGGTAAACAAAATACCGTGGTCCTTTGAGAACTCGAACATACACGGAGCCGTTTTCGTCTTCATCTTCAGGTATTCCGCTAAGAATATCTGCTTCTACTTCTTTCTCACTGTCCGCATCATCGTCACTAGAGTCAATGTCTTCATGATGAGAAGCCGGGGGAGGTTGAGGACTCGGAGTTTTGTGCACAGGTGAAACGGGAAGATCGCCAATAATATCCTGGATTAGCTGAAGGTCCTGTGGAACATCCGAGGGTATTTTGAAGCCTTCCATATTTTGGTCTAGATGGAGTTTTTGTGGAAAGGAGAGGTGGGGCTAAACTACACAGGAGTCTAAATTGATCGAAATTCAAGCAAAGCTTGGGCGTCAACAAAACTTTTGATCGACATTCCTGACCATGTTGCACCTTTGCCTCCGACAGAAAGGTGCTCTCCGCTCTTCTACTTTACGCACGTACTCGACCAAGCCTGCGGGGAATGTACCCATAAAGCTTGTAGCGGAACTTCGCAAGCTTACAGAAGTTTCTCTATCAAAGGCGCGGGAAGCACTCTCAGCTTCGAATAACGACGTTCAAGCTGCGTTAGAATGGCTCGAGAAAGATGCATCGGTCTCAGGTGCCAAGAAGGCTGCGAAATTGCAGGGGAGGGATGCTAAGGAAGGGTTGATTGGGACTTCAGTGCTCTCGAGAGGGACAGGTGCTGGCGAGGGGCCTGTACGTGGAGGGGTGCGGGGTGCCATGGTGGAACTCAATTGTGAGACGGATTTCGTGGCGAGGAATGAGCTCTTCGGAAAGCTTCTGGCAGACATCTCGCACACTGCTGCCTTCATTTCTGAACACACATCGACCTCTGGCGACTTGTCAGACGTCTTTCAGCCACTCCCTATCGAAGTCCTTCAAGATGCACCATTACTATCACACACTTCCACAGACTCACTGCGACCTGCTAAGCAGACCATTTCCGAAGCTATCCAGGAACTCGTTGGCAAGGTTGGAGAAAAGATCTCACTGCGGAGGGCTTTGACAGCTGTCATTCCATCTGAGAGAATTCTCGCTGGTTCAGCGTACCACTTGACCTCGTATGCCCATGGTTCCATTCGTATTCCCGGACAGGGTCGCATTAGTGCACTTCTGTTGTCTAACCTCACCGGGTCTCACGACAAGCTCAACCAGCTCTTCTCCTCGCAAGATACTTCCAAAGAGCTCTTCAGCATTCAACACGCTCTTGCCAGACAAGCCGTCGGTTTCCCGACTTTAACCATCAAACCTCCCTCATGGAACGCGTCCGAAGATGAACTCGCGTCCGCATTACTTGCTCAACAGTTTATGATGTATGCACCATCAAATGGCGCCAATGTTGCAGAATTCTTGCAACAATGGTCAAAGAAGCATGAGCTAGTTTCCGAAGACATGCCACTACCTCTTGTACCAACTGCCTTGGCCAAATGGACAGTAGGCGAGAGTGATAGCGCTGCGGTTCTCTCAGTGCTTTCAAAAGAAGCAGGTGCCGAACTGCTACCTTCGAGCACTACGTGATCACACCAACGCCTTGATAACCCCGGAGCACCTCGTGCCAAGTGCGTATTCAAATCACCGTCATTGGTTGTTTGTCATTCACATTTGATTTACTATTTATATTCTAGCCGCCTATATTTAGACGTCAAATGTATCCTACATGTCTTACTAATTTGCATACACAACTCCGAGTGTGCTCGGTATGCGTGTCATTTGTCCACTTTGAATAGACGATAACACCACTCATGTCCACTTCTATCCTTCGTGTGATTAATCCTTATCTCCTAAAGGTAGGTTCCAACTGCCAAAATCCTGCACCGCAGAATGCATACTTCAATGAGGTCACTTGACACCCATACTTGTGAATATACAGCCTATCACACTATAGGCTATGTTTGCCTAAGTGCTATGGAAAATGAGTGAGATATCCAATTTGGACTTCTCTCTATGATGACTGCGAACCTCACCTTGTTCAGGAACACCGGACGAGAAATGTCTTGCTTTGGATTTGCCACGCATGCTGACTGCATGCAATGATAGCGCCCTATGTTGTTGCCTTACAAAACCCCGGTCACGCAAATTTGTCCTCTCCATCATTCCTTTTCGATCTCCACTCGCGACCGCCATCCCTCCCCATCTTCTACCTCATCTAAGGATGGCCGTCAACCAGACCGTTGAAGGGATGTTTGAAAAGACTTTCTGGGGCCCAGTGACTGCGACCCTGGACTGGTGCGAAGTGAGTGATCGCCACTTTGAGCCACCAAACAATCACATGCTAACGACACTTGGCTTTCTAGGCGAACTACCAATTCTCCAGATACATCGCAGAAACTGTTAATACTTGGTCTAATCTCGTCGCCATTGGGCTCGCATTCTATGGCATTCGACAAGTACAAGCGGCGAAGCTACCTAGTCGCTATATCGTAGGATTCGCGGTAATGGCAACTTCATCGGACCGATGGGTTCGGAGGTAACTGACACGTTTTCCAGGGTGTCGCATTGATCGGCATTGGGAGCATGATCTTCCATGCTACCCTACTCTATGGTGCACAATTGGCAGATGAGTTGCCTATGATATACGTCGCATCGTATTTTTGTGCAATCTTATTCGATACACATCCTGGATTCGCTCGGACGACAAAGACTACATCTCTTGCGACCATATTCTTCCTGTTCAATATCCTGTTCACATGGAGCTAGTATGTCTGCATTTCGGATGCACGTCTTCCCCTCGTTCCGTTACTCACCTCTCAATCTTCACCTCCAGTTCTATCTTCCGAAACCCTGTCTATCACCAAATGATCTTCGGCGTAATCGTCTTCACCAATACATTCCGAACGGCATACCTCCTAAAGTGGTCGGAATTCTCATCCCGGATCCCTCAAGATACTAAAGCCGCAATAGGCCGAACTTTTTCGTCCGGTGCTGGCATCTTTGCTCTAGGCTTCGTGGTTTGGAATCTCGATAATATCTTTTGTAATACGATCACGCGATGGAAACACACACTTGGATGGCCTGCCGCGTTTGTCCTCGAGGGGCACTCTTGGTGGCATGTTTTCACTGTATGTTCAGATTATCGTCCTTTTGAGTTGTTATTGACCCCCTAGGTGTACTTAGGCACTTGGAACGTATTTGATGCTCGTTGGAAACATTTGTGAGTGATTTTGATACCTTCAAGAATGTGTTTCGGATGCTAACTCTCTAACAGATTTGTACGACAGTGTGTTCTCTCTATTGGGATGATACTAACACGGTTATTATAGGACGCTTTGCATTAAAGACGATCATTCTAAATATAATCTAGAACGCAAACTGGGCCTTGATAGGCTCATTCGAATGCCAAAGGGCAAAAGCCAATAAATACTCATTCTTTCTCACATCCATCTTCACGAATATCACGACTATCTCTACTGTATCTAAGTTTGTAGCAACCTATTAGAAACAGCTGCACAGTGTTTCCATTGTGTATTGTATCATTATAGTCTCGTGCTCACTCAATGTTCTTTCGAGTGATCTTTGACACAGACGGGTGATACTTTGAAATACGATATTCTGTCTCACGGGTTTGAATGTTCAAACTGGCACACCGCTTTCGGCGGTTCACGTTGTGTAGTTGTTCACATGAACACTTTGCCATTCCCATCTCAACGAAATGTGATTTCCACGCAGCCAAGGAACTAGGTCTTAGCTAGGCCGGGTCATGGGTGCACCACGAATTATATAAAGCCCGATGCAATCAATACTAACCGATTAACACGTCTACCCCAGATTACCCCGCATCTTACTGTGCATACCCCGCGTTTACATCTCGCGATGCCTTCAGTGACTCTATCTGTCGGACATTACGGTTACCCCTTTCTTCAACAAAATACACATTGGTCATTCCTTCTTGCGCACCCTAAGGGAGGTGCGATAGCATACCAAGTTGGGGGATCGCCTCAGAGCTACGAATTCAGACAGCCGGCTGTGGTAGAGCCACGAAAGGCAGCAACGTTCATGGGGAAGGTAGACGTTGGGACGATTGAACTGTCCAATCAGACAAAGCTGGAAGACGTCCTGAGACAGATACCAGTGGTTCGAGGGAGCGAGAAATGGAATTGTCAGACATGGGTGGTCGAGGGGCTGAAGGCTTTGCGAGAGAAAGGGTTCGAAGTCGAGGTGCCCAGTCAGGAGGAGTTGTCCGCAAGGTTAGGGAAAGCGAAGAAATATGGGTAATAAAGGTGAGATGAGGTTTTAAGTTTTGCTTGACCGTTTCATGTTTAATACGTAATGTATAGATGAATTATCAGACTGGGGGCAAAGCAAGCATCTAATGTTCGACTCTCAATGGTACGCCCAGCTTGAAAGGTCCGGGGCCTCTACAAGATTCTAATAAGCAAGTCTCAGCTTGCTAGAGTCTGCCTAAGGGAGACTAATACAAGGTTGGGAAAGCACCAAGCAAAACTTACATAATATGGACCCTACCATCCCTTCACGTTCATACGCTTGGAATCATCTGTAAAGCTTTAAGCTATACCTGTATTCATTGTTTACTTCAAGAGATGTTCGCCCTGGACCTCTCAGAAATCCATGACTCGGAATGGATTCAATGTAAACTCTTCTATTGCCAGTGAGGGTAACTCGACTTGAACCCCAATCACATGAGGGTGCATCTAAGTATGAGCAAGACAGCTCGAAATTTCCAAATGATGATCTAGGTTATTTCGGTCTATTCTGTGGCTCTCACTTTCGCGAACTTGAAGACTGCCGTCGCGACTGAAGATGCGCATTGCGGCATTGATGATGCAATGTGTCACATGAGGCAACAACGTAAGCGATTGACTCTGTAGCTCAGTGGTAGAGCGTACGATTGCAAATCGTGTTGTCCCGTGTTCGAACCACGGCAGGGTCTTTAAGTATTATCTTCATTCCTTTTTACCAATCACGACTTGCTCTCTCTCCTTGACAGTAAGAAATCGACGAGCGCTAGGGTACGTTTGACGGTTATGCCTAAACCACCATCAAGTCTGCTGCGACGCTCCCTCCGTTCACGACATCTCCATGACATAGCACATAAAGAGGCGTCCTCCTCTGTAAGGATAACGACCCTCCCCAACAGAATACGTGTTGCCACAGAAGCTACTCCAGGCCATTTTGCTTCGGTTGGTCTCTACATAGATGCTGGCTCACGGTACGAAACACCTTCAACGTCGGGCGTAAGCCACTTTCTAGATAGAATGGCTTTCAAGGTGTGTTATACTCATCTGTATATGTTGCACTGCTTATCTTGCTTCTATAGACAACCAACACCCGTTCGGACCTTGACATGTCTCAAGCAATTGACAAACTCGGAGGCCAGATTCTCTGTTCATCCTCTCGAGAGACCATCATGTATCAGTCGTCTCACACTCATTCCGGTACTCCTCTCGCCATGGACCTCATATCCGAGACTGTCCGAAATGCCGCGTTCCTCCCAGAAGAGATTGAAGCGCAAAGAGACGCCGCGAGATACGAATTACGAGAGGTCACCTCTAAACCAGAAATGTACATCCCGGAAGTTCTTCATGAGGTTGCCTACGATAACAAGACACTGGGAAACCCACTTCTATGTCCGGAGGATCGGATAGACCTCATCGACGAACCTGCTATGCGGGCATATATGAACAACTGGTACAGACCGGAACGCATGGTGCTTGCTGGAGCTGGTATGCTACATGAAGAACTCGTCGAGCTGGCAGATAAACATTTCTCTGGCATCAAATATACTCCTCCACCTCCGCCCCAAGCCTCTGCACCGAGGACAAATGGTCACCAACCATCACAAATCTTCCCGCACTCGTCAACTCCACCTTCAATATACAAGTCTTTAACTCGAGCAGCGTCGTCATATTTGTATCCCACCTCCCCTAATATTCACGATCCTACACCACTATATAACTCCACAGGGACGCAACCAGCAACATACACTGGTGGTCACAAATTCATCAAGAACACCACCTCCGAATTTAATCACCTCTATCTTGCTTATGAAGGTGTTGGAATTCACGATGATGACGTGTATACTCTAGCTACGATGCAAGTCCTGCTGGGTGGCGGGGGCAGTTTCTCGGCCGGTTAGTCCAAATATAAGTCCTCTTGCGCTACTTGTACACGCTTACACAAAACTTCTATGACTCAACAGGTGGCCCCGGAAAGGGCATGTACTCCCGACTCTACACCAACATTCCTTAACCACTACCCACAGATTGACCACTGTGCTTCCTTCCACCACATCTATACCGACAGCTCCCTATTCGGTCTTTTCGCTAGCTTCGTACCCGCAGCTGGCCGGCACCAGGGCAATACCCCGGCGCAGATCATGCCTCACCTCGTACACCAACTCTCGTTACTTCTCTACTCGCAAATCCCCAAGACAGAGTTAATGCGTGCGAAGAACCAGCTGAAATCAAGTCTGGTTATGGCTTTGGAGAGTCGATCGGTTGAAGTTGAGGATCTTGGTAGACAGGTATGATTCACAACCTTGTGTTACGTCATCCGGAAGTATATACTAACACATTATTTATAGGTTCTTGTTCACAACCGTAAAGTCCCCGTGTCGGAGATGTGTGACAAGATAGACGAAGTTGATCAAAAAGCCATCTCTCGAGTCGGCTGCTCGTATTTTTGGCCCAGAGCTAAACAAGAAAGCCACAGTTGTCTGCACAGGTAGACAAGATGTTGGTGATTACGGCAACGTGTTGAAGAAGTATGGTGTCGGAGGAGCGTAGAGAGTAGAGTTTGTCTGCTGTGCTATTTGTTTGCTATTGCTTTCTGGTTACGATACACTCCGTTCTGTTAATACATCAGGTACTATCATCATGTCAGTGGGTAAAATAACAATAACAGTATGGTAAGTATAAGGGCATCTAATAAGTTTCAATCTCCAGTCCAGGATTTCAGCGTAATCTTGTGACTTGGGTATCTCTTCGTGTTACAAGATACACCCTCGATTCGGGGTCGGCGTGTTTACCCCAAGACGTCTTATGAGTGGGTGCAAGGTTCGTCATCTAAAATAAAATAATTAACCACATCGCAGCACAAGAATCAGAAGTAAAACATTACCATGAATCGTCTGGCCTTCGGTAAAGCTTCCAGGAGCTGCATCCTCACTGACACGGTAGTTCAAGACATCCCATATAGTGATCTGGCCCGTACGACCCGCGGGGTATTTGCCAGTGCCCGGTTGCGCATCTTTAACGATGATCACACGGAAAGAACGAACGTCACGAGGAGGGCAAGCGTTCTGTTCCAAACTTTGGTGAGTATAGATTGTAACAACAGCAGCAAGAGGACACTTACATCGAGTTCTCGTTCCATGCCGTCGTAAAAGGTCTGTCTGTCCTTGTTCACCTTCTGTTGCATCAGCTGAAGCAACCATCCAGAGTCTTTGATGCTAAGGCATCTGAAAATGTTATTTGCTTCCGTGAGATCTTCAAGTTCGACCATAAGGTCCTCGATATGTTCAGGAACGGATTCTAACGTACAGGACCAGATCAATTATGACTTCGGCTTTCGAAAAGAAAAGAATGTACCATTGACGGATGGCATAAGCCTGGAGTCTGCACGTTGTTCGAGGCGTTCGAGCCAAATCTCCCATTTCTGAATCTCCTTCTGGAACGCAGAACGGAGTTTGTCCGCTTCCAGTTCCCTGCGAGCCTGTTACGTTCGACGAAATATACATGAGAAGAGGATTGTAAGACTAAGGAAGAAGATTTACCTTCCACTTTTCGAACTCTGCGAGTTCGTCCTCTTCGTTCCGAGGTCCTTCCATTTGTCTGTTGCCCTCCTCATCTTCGATAGTTTCCATGAAGGCGATAGGATATACCTTGAGACAAGGCCATAAGTTACATGTTTCCTAACATAACAAAGCAAGAAGTCGCATACCTTTTCCACTACAACGTCTATGACAGCAACCATACCACCATCGGGTCCAATACTTCGTAACGACGAAATAAATGGGGAGGCCTGGAAACCCAATTTGGCATGCCATGGAGCGAGATGGGATGAGTTCCCGGAGATCTTGAGCATAACGGTATCATATGCGTCCAGAATATCCGCAGGCTCTTTCCCCGACATTTCTAACTATATCCAGGATAAGTCCCAATAACGCAATGTCGAATCATGCCGACGACTACTTACACGACAACCAGTAACAGCAATCTTTCGACCAATCTTGATTGCTCCCTTCTTGATCGCACGGGCTAACGGCTCGTCAATCTGTGCTCGGAGTCGGTACCAGCCATCAGAAATTTCCAGTTCAGGTATATCGTCGTCCGGACGAAGAATATTGGTGACAACGAGTACCATCGGACATGACGCAGGTGCGTCGTGAGTTGTAATGAGACGGAGGGCTGGGCGAGAGGTTCCGTTAATTTCACGATCGTATCTGTATGTCAGTTGACGTATGATCTCGTCCCAGCACCACCGTTTCGTATCGGGATTACGCTCGCGCTGAGGTTCTAGAGCAGCCAACCCAGCGAGTTTCCAGAGAATAAGACACCAATGATTGTCTATCCATTCCCTTGTAACCAATGAATAGCCAGATTTCCTGAGTTGGCTGTATGCGGATGAAGAGCCTAGTGTCATGGTCTTTGCCATCAATTGAGAGTGCCTCAGTGGGAAAGGAGAGGCTGAATGGAATGAATAGTAAAAGGCTGTTGCAGGGGTAACTCGGCTGAGCTCGTTAAAGTCACTGCTGTGAAACCTATTGAATTAAATATTACAACACGATACAAGGGAGGTACGAACAGTCCCATTGATTGCAATTCGCTGCGAGTATATGATTGAGGAACAAGGCCACTGGAGGCAAGAGGTATCTTGCCATTGCTCTTTCCTGAGATTGCCGTGAATGAATGGATTTAGCCTCAGGAGATTGAATACTTAGTGTACGATTACACTCACTTGTGCTGGACGTTGACGGTCTTCCAGAGGATCCGCTACCAATAATCCTCACTGGGGAGCTTGCCTTCTGTTGTTGCTCCAGGAGCAACCTCCCAGTCTCCCCCGGCTTCAAACCAGGCTTGAAAGGGGTCGAAAATGGTTTCTTCATTGACCCACCGCTCACTTTCCTAGCAGACATACCTAACGAGCGAGGAGTACTGGGGCTAGAGCTCAGATACATCGGTGTAGATGGAAACAATGGGGTATTGAATGCCGAAGAGGCACCTAAGTAAGGAGTGAAAGGCGTAGTCTGTCTAGCGGGAGTTGTGTATGGTGCAAAACGTTTCGGGTTTAGAGGCGATGAGACCACAGGAGCAGATTTAGAGGAACTAGCAAGTGGGGGTCGGAATGGAGTGGTGGGAGGAGCGGCAAGAAGCGGTGATTTGAATGGTTTCTTCTCGTTAGCAGTCATGGTGCCACTGGCAGTGCCAAACCCCAATGGTCTCCTGAGTGCAGGGCCAGCAGGACTTGGACTTTGAGGAACGTCTCCTGAGAAATTCTGGCTATACGTCTGATTCGGTAATATTCCTACAACTAAAGGTGGTTCCTCTTCCTCCGTTGAGAGAGAAAATTCCTTGTCGATTTCCTTTTCCCATTGATTCATCATGGCTGCTGCTTTCTGCAAAGCGGCTTCGGATGGGGCAATATAAGCTATTTTCGCGGGTGCGGTGGGATCGAGGAGCGTTTTGCCAGTTGTGAAGCCAGTGAATGCCGGCGGCACGAACCCAACAGTCTCGGGTGCTTTGCCTTTCTCAGATAGTACTGTAGATTCCATTGTCGTAGAGTTGTTAGATTCCACATCCGTCGTAGCCTCTGCGACACTGGTAGTACCGGTCAGCTTTAGTGCTTTGGCAGATTGAAATCCAGCGAAACCAGTCGGCTTTGCATCGAGTTTAAACCAGTCTTCCTCTTCTACCACAGTCGCTATAGTCT